ATGCAGACTCGGCAAAGCAACAAAACATTGCACACATTTCCAGGAAGAAAACCCTCGCTGCAATTAATTTATTTTCACAGAATATTGTCTGCATGTGGCGCAACTCACAAAACTCCAAGGAACTTAACATGAAACTAGTCTTAAGGTCGTGGTTCAGCTAGAATGGATTGCAAACATGAACCCCTTGACAATCTTAAAGGACCCCTACCATTATCATTGACATTGTGAAAACATATGAACCATCCCCGTATTTGCATAATACAACTTGCCAAGCTCAACTATTTCAAGCATCAAAATTCACTGCCGCTTGCACACCACGTGGCAATTTGATTTCTTCGGCTATGTCGGGTGGTGGAGGGTCTTACAACACTAATTTGGCCCAGTCCTTATTAGGCCTAAACCTAAATTGCAGTATGACGTTAAAGATGTAGTTTTAGTCATTTTCTTTAATTTGGCAAAAATGACAAGCACAGGATAGACGTTGTTCCATAGGGAGTGTGTCACAAATCCACCGTATGAGAAGGGCACAGGGAAAAGAACAAGGTGAAGCATGAGAAAGAGTGGCTGAGAGAGCATGTTACAACAGGTGGCCAGTGAGTAACAGAGAAGACGAAGCATTAATGAAGATGGAAGAATAGCAACATTTTACAGTATGATTTTACATTTAGGCTTCTGGTCAAGAGCTTCAGGAGATGCAATGTGATATTCAGAGAGGTTTCCCAGGAATGAGTTCCAGTGGATAGGTGTTTACGAGATGTCCCATTGTGTGAAGTTGTTCACCACATCTGCAGTGGAGTGTCCTCGAGTCTCAATGCATGCACGAGCTATCCGCAAGCAACCCGTGTGAAGTTCTCATGCGGTTGTTCATCGCCGTCGACCACTCGGGGCAAAGGGAGTGCGAATCCAGAAGGCTCGACCGTCGAGGGCCACAGCAGCAGGGCTTCATGCATGAACTCATCTCCCAGGCGGGCAGGCAGTATTTAGCCGCAGAGTAAACCAAGGCCGAGGCCGCTGTACAAAGATGCCGAGCATCACAGCCCCAGCTATTGCCAGCTAGCTTTTCAAAGACATTGCTGTGGAGGGCATGGCATTCAGAAAGTAGGAGCACAGAGGGCAGCTGAGCTGGGTGCTACTCCCTTGAGAGAAAAATAGTGCCAACATGGGCCGATGCTGCATTCAGACACTTACAAAATATGAATTCTTCCATGACATGCTCGTGACAGCTGTAAAGTTTAATTTCAACTTAAGCTGTCAGTCGATTCCAGGACAGTGATATGATGCATCGAGCCAATGACTAGGGATAATCATATAACGGTGTATTTTGATATAACTTAGAAAAAGAGCCTATGATTGGGTTTAGTAAAATTTATATCTCATCCCACGCAAAATGTCACATGCAAATGCTCTCTCTGAGCAAATAAGAGATACAATGGATATGACAAATGTGACGTTTATCCAAATCTGCAGGTAGGTGCAATGCCATAAAAACATGAAATATGCTGCATAGCTGAATGAAGACAGAGTGGTAATGAATGTGTAAAATGACAATATGGAGTTGGAGCAATGAGATCAGTTCATGGGCACGAGTGAGATGAATCGTGGCACTGCAGTGTCGCGAGGGATGGCAACGGCATAAAGGCCTTCATCCAGTAGTGGATAAACAGTGGCTGCCGATGCTGATAATGATTATGTTTGGTTACTTACATAATCACAATGTACACAATGTAAAAAAGTATCTACTTGCATTCAAATTAAAATGTCCATTTTAATATGCATGCAAGTACATGTAAATTTGAAACGTATTCAAACTGTTTGCATTTTCCTTTTCTCTCATTGCAATGCATATCGCTTGTACAATGCATTGCAAAGCATAATTGTATATGCACATCGCATAATGACTATGCTAGGTATCCCACCCATTGGCTAGAGTTTGAGATTCACCAATCACCGTTACCATACATTAAATATCATTTCTCGAATAGGTTTGGGTCAGATGACCCTGCATATTTAACATACCACACATAACAAAGACAAAGATTCCACGTATAGCCTTGACAGGCTGTCGGGGCAAGTGCTGTTAGCGAGCACCTCTGAAGGCCGGCACGGCACACGAGGGCGTGGGTGGCCAGCACCACGCCCGACCGCCTTTGTCTCCCCAGTGGCGATGTTTTTACACACCGCACCAGGTACTCGTTTGAGAATGAGTCGACCGAGGGGAAGCCCAGGACAAGTTCAGATAATCGTCACTGGTGTAGGTCGTGAGCGGGAATTGACCTCGGGTCGCCAGGTTCATAGCACAGCGTAGCGTTAACCGCTACGCCACCGCTCACCACACATAACACACGGACGCCTACACGCACACTGCAGTATTGTCTAATGGCACGTTGCATTTCTTCAGCAGCAATACAGATATTCCCAAGGCAAATGTCAAAGCAGAGCCACACAGTTCAAACGTCTGCCTAAATGTAATGCTTCAGCGATTCACTACACCTTTACAAACACCCTGTACACATTTTTCCATGCGAGCGAAGACGAAACGTTCTTGATACTTTGCCCAGCACAAGATGGGATGGGCATTGCCATTGCTCAGCCAAGTTCCCATTTTGTCAGCCTGAGTCATAACTACATCTGTGTCTGCTTTAGTTTACATTGTTCAATTGTTTTATGACTACACACTGTACCGAAAGAACCAATGAGTACACACTGTATGGCCATACATCCTGTGTCCATATGCTGGCTGCCAAACTCAAATTCCCTTGTAATAGCCCGAGAGTGATGCTGTTTTTACGTGTATTTGTTATGAATAATCCACTTATATTCTTGGTTCTTGCTGTGTTTTTCCACACCTGATGATGATTGCTTGTGTTGCAGTCGAAACGTCGTGAGAATTTTATTGTTTTATATTTTTATAATTTTATTGTTTCCCTTCTACGTGACTTTACCGAAAGAACCAAGAATATGAATCCCTGCAGTCACGAAAGCTTAAAATCTAAATAATCCACTTGTTTGTAGAACTGTGTTTTTGCACATGTATTTTTTTTATAATTTAGTTTGCGCCGTACGTAGCCAACCGTGATAATCGAATGTGCGGGGGAAGGACAACAAACTAAACACAACAAGTTTAGTTTCCCACAGGTGGTGCCACAGTGAGTGTAGGGAGGATAAAGTCTGCCCACGTGGGAAACTGAACAATAGAATTGGCCTTCACCCTCCCTCACAAGAATCACCCACGTAGGAAATAACAAGGTTACTGATGAATGTTTTGAGGTGTTATATATGAATATAACTTCTATTTATTGTAAATATAAAGCCATGCAGAGTAGCACATTTTAGAGTGCAAAGTATTTGAGTTTAAGTAAAAAAAATATTGCTCAGTTGTAGACACTGTAGCTGAGGGGGTAGGATCACGAGGCAAACCACGGCCTATAGCAACAAGTTAAGGTTATTTACAGGTAAAGACCAACCTTATTTCAGAATCAGAATATTAATTTAAACTGGAGGAATCCTATGAGCTGTAAAACTCTTTTTCACAGATGTCCATGAGGGGCGGGTCAGAATGTTACAACAAACAATACAAAAACAAGTTAGGAATGCAAAGTATAGGAAAGGTGCGCAAATCACTAATATATATTGTAATATATTACCGTAATATAACAATACATACTAAATAGTGAGTGCTAATTGTAGCTTGACATTTGTTTTGAGCTGTTTAAGACGTCAACTAAGGTGGGAAACTGTCCAGCCTTGTGTCTTGCTACCTCAGCGAAGAGAATCTCCATGATTAAAACGGACACTTTTTTTTTATTTCAAGTTTCCAAAAACACTTCCTGTCCGCCCACCGTAACCTTCTCTCCTCACTTCCCCATGGTGTGGCATCAGTTAACCTCCTGAACTCTCTCCTGAAAGCTCCTTCATGGCTAGCAGACCTCGATATTGGCATTTAGCTCCCGAACATATTGCCGCCATATGCAAAAACAGAACAGTTAGCCTCGCATTTCGATTTAAAGCTTTCGTGACTGCAGGGATTCATCTTCTTGGTTCTTTCGGTAAAGTCACGTAGAAGGGAAGTAATAAAATAAAAAAAATAAAACATAATAAAATAATTCTCACGACGTTTCGGCTACAACGCAAGCAGCCGTCTTCAGGTGAAGACCTGAAACGTCGTGAGAATTATTTTATTATATTATGTTTTATTTTTATTATTTTATTACTTCCCTTCTACGTGACTTTACCGAAAGAACCAAGAAGTTAGCCTCCCATTTTTAATATGGACGTGCCACCCATGGTTTCACGTGTGTGCAAACATGTCAAGAACACAAGATGCATTTTTCCCCATTTAGCTAAAATGTATCATTGTTTAAGGCAATAAAGGTCTAGGGTTTTCATAGTCTGTGTTAGTACTACACAATTATCAATGAGAGGATTAGCTACGCTGCCAATTAATTGCAGTTGTGTATAAATATGTATTTTTCCATGTGCTGATTTTATTATTATTATTGTCTGCTCCTCATTTATTGCAGGCCGGTAAGTAAACCGATTACTTTCACAAACAACAACAGATGACGCATGCTCCATGTTTTCCCCCATTATAAGTAGGTAAACAATACGTTTCTATAGACTAATTGACATACATTTTGTGTGTTTTTGTTTTTCCGGGCCCCCCCCCCTTAACGCCACCACCCTGGATAATCGAGAGGTGACTGTGTCATAGCAATATTATACGATGTCAGTCTAAAGAAATACACTCTGCTAAACGTGGCACAAACCACCATCCACACATTTACCCTAAACTGTTGTCGTTTTAACCATAATCCTCTACCGTGCGAACATACAGAGTGCAGCCAAGCAAGCAGGCCGTTGTCCTTCCCCCACACCGCTGACTACATACGGCGCGAAAGAAGTTCAACGTACATACATACAGGCTGAAGAAAACGTCAATTTTCACGTGTGTCGCAGCATCACGAGAGGGATTGTGTGCACGGTAGAAGGAACGAACTTACTGTGCCGCTGCGCGTGTCCACGCTGGGAAACTTGCGGACGATGTGCTTGATGGCCGATTCCAGGTTCTTGTCGAGCAGGTAGGTAGGCTTTGCCTTTGGGTCACCACAGGCCTGCATGCCGTAAACGGGAGGCGAGACAAACGTAACACGCATTTAAATTCATCAGCTCGCACATGAAACAATTGTTTAAAAAATATACATACGTCATTATCTCTTAATGCAGTCAGAGTTTCTGATGTGTCATTTTTGCTACCGTATTGCCTATGAATGACAGACTTGCTAAACCTACTTTACCTGTTGCCTTCTGACATGGCTATTCAGTTATACTGGTACACTTAGACACAAAAGGTACGCTACACATAATGCACTGACATAACCATGACTGTAAATCCTAGCTTAATTAAGAATATAGTTGTTAAGGTACGGTGTAAAAAGGTTAGTAATACCATAATAATCATAACAATATATTGAAATAGTATTGTATTATGGTGTATATTTGTGGATCAGCACATATAAACTTGCTAGCTTTCGGCTAATTAAATACCCAACCTATCAGTTTGTATCAAAATGAAACTTAATTGAGTTTAATAATACAGAATAGCAACGAAATTTAAGAATAAAAAAAACTCGGACATCTTCAAATATGCGTGCATGTTCGTATCATAACACCCTGCATATTTGTAATCCGCATGCTATATTCAGCACCACACTTGTGAGATTCCATTCGGACATGTTGCTTGAAGGCATGGAAAAATTGGATTATAAAAGGTAGCCCAAAGAAGGAATACACACGCGTAAGACATGGGACAATTAAACGAGGGCAAATGCAAGAAGAGTACCCTAGGTTATGGGTGCAGGGCATCAGCGACGGGAATTCCTAACCCAGCAGTTGACTGAAAATGACCAATGATGATGCTCGACAACATCACTCGCACTATTGGTCAGCATAAGTGTTCGAGAGGGAAATAATGTGCGAGGGAGACAGGTCCCCCGATTCCTCTTCTCACCCAGAGGGGCCCCTTTGCTACAGCATGGTCAGATGGCACTCATGGAGCTGTGGGGATTGCTGCCGATGCACTTATCACATCCATTAAGCAGTGGGCCCTGTGCTCATCGCAGAGCCCTGATGGTCACTTCATCAGCGAGTGGTGATGAAAATTCCGTCAAATAATGCAGCTTACGTTAAGCTTTTTTTTTATTCAGTGATTTTACAATATATATTTGATGAAAATATCATTAGCATTACGTAATGTGTATATGTACTGTATATAGTTTTGTATTACTATATACCCGCTTCTGCTTCATTGGGGTGAGCATGCGTAATGTTATATGGGTTATGCACAAGTAAAATTACATTTCTGAATATTCGCTCGTGCTGACATGTCCAGGTTATGAAAAATATAACATTGATACAAAACACGGTGTGGACTCTTGGTTGAAAACAGGCTCTAAAAATGACCGTAAATGACCGTATATGACGAACAAAAAAAAAGATTAAAGGGGTGCATTATAATAACTTGGGTTTATTAAATATAAAACTCCAAAAACATGCCCTCCAATAATCTGGAAAAGGTAAAATTCCAACACTTGTTCTGTTTCAGTTTACAAGCGTTACCTTCGGGTTGATTTCCATAACAGATTAACCACAGCTGTTCTCTACCAAAGATGAAAGGGAGGGGAATTATCATTTCTACATCTGCCTTCACTTAATCTATTACATCATGAGACCAATATTGATGGCATGTTGAGCAAATGGCCCAGAGCTTTGAAATGTCACGTGGGATTGATTCCCAGGTCGGGTGGTCAGAGAGAAAAGGGGGCAGATCAGTTCAGCAATGATTTTTTTACGGAACGTGTTTTACCTACATTGCAATGTTCTGCCTCAATGTCGATTTTAGTGTTTAAATAAATAATCAGTGATAATCTTCACCCACCAAAAATTGGTCGAGATAGATTTTTCAGAGGAAAATGCCAAAGGTCTACATCATGGTGCATCAATACCTGCCAAGAGGCACTGCACTTAGTGGGGTTCATGTTATAATGCACATACACAGCCACAATACCGGACACATTATAAAGTCACATAGGCAATGAATATCCCTCTTTCAATAAGGACAGGACAGTTTGATTTCCGTAAGTCACCCAGAACCATTGGTGGCAAGCTCACGTTCCCGTGGTGAAGACGAACTATGCCCTTCTGGCTGCAGTGGAGTTGGTTCCAGGAGTCAAATGAATGTAAATACTGATAATACAAACATTACGCCTATGTGTTTGTCTTTTTTTCTCAAATTGTGTAATAATTATTACGGCAATAAATAAATAAAACATTTATAACTCATCATCCCATGCTTGGGAATGGTTCACATATCTTCAAGTGACCTACTATCCACAGCGTGCAGCAGCATCTTTCAACCCATACTGCTCGTGAAAACATGTTCAAGGCTTGATAATGAAGCATTATTTTTGTCTCAGAGCAGGAATATAGCCTTTTTTAAAATCCCAATTTAATGTAACTTTTTTTACCTAGTCATTGGTGGCCAAGCAGAGACCACCAACTTGCTAAATGAGAACTCCGGTTAAATGAGGGGATAAAAGCTTCTAGGATTCCAATCCAGGATCACAGCGATGCTAGCTCAGTGGCCTGACCTCTAATTATGTGTGTCTGTTCAAAATGTTTCTCGTACTTCCCGACATGCAACAAACTTGAAATTTGCCATGTGGGTACTTTCCAGATTGTACACCATGCACAAATTATAAAAAATAAACTTTATAATTTTTTTGGAGGCGGGGCGCAATAATGGATATATTTTGCACGGCAAGTGAGCTGTGACGTCACATCTGTCATGTCACCCGCATGCGGGAAGCGTAACGCAGTGTGCCTGCTGATCGCGGGCAAAGTGAAATACAAATGTGTTGCAGGTCTAAGGCGTTCTTCGCGCAGCATTGCTTTATTATTTCAGTCGTTTACTGCCGTACGCACCCTGTGTGTGTGGGGGGGGAGCGGTAGTGTAGTGGTTCGCGCGCTGCGCTACGAACCCGGCGACCCGAGTTCGATTTCCGCTCACGGCCACCACCGGTGACGATTATTTGAACCGGTCCTGGGCCTCCCCTAGGTCGACTCAGCCTCAAACGAGTAACTGGTGTGGTGTGTGAACATCGCCAGTGGGGAGACATAGGTGGCCGGGCGTCGTGAATCTAAGTCCCGGGTGAAGCCGGGTAGTAAAGCTCGTAAAGTATAAGGAAGATAGAGGCAGACATTCGAGCAGGGTATTTATGCTACACAATTATATCCTGTGTCAACGTGTGTGGATATTATCTGTGGTGGGATTAAATGGTCGGGTCAAGTGCTGTTTGAAGCAAGGGCATTCAGTCAAAATGTGACTTTGTTGCTATCGGGCAAAGAAAATATATTTATTAGGTTGATATAAGTAGGCAGTCTTTGTATAAATGTGTATTTTATTACGTCAGAAAATATGGTTCTCCAGACTACTATAGACGATTATACAACTCAAGTAAAATACTTATGCGCTCCAGGATAAACACACATTGCTTGTCCTAACATTGGTTTCTACTTAAGTCGGTGAGACAAGATTGGATAAAGAAACAGGGGACTCTTCTTTAAAAGGGTCTGATGTAAAGGTCATAGGCCGTGCACGGCTTTAGGTCACTAGGAAAAAGAGTGTTGGCACCCCAGGTGTGAAAAGGTTTGCGGGCTCCTATTTGTGGCCTTGTGTGCGACAACAAGCCTCCGATATTCACCGTAGGTCAAGTTGACGCTTTGCAATTTCACGGTCGATTTAGTTTTTGTTCCAAAGAGATTCACCGCAGAGGGCCTCTATAAATATGAATTGGTAAACAAAAGAGGGCTGTTTTAAGTAAACATAACTTAAAATTGGATTTTATTTACACTCCTCTGATATTAAAGAAAAAAAAACCTTGGTATATTGGCATATTTTTATAATGTTCTCATGAAACGGGATTTAAAAAAATACAAGTAGGCTTTGGCGATCAATATTATCCATAAGAGGATTTTGGGTTACATCACGTATTCGAATTGTAAATGTTGTGGGTTTTACTCTCCAACACAGTGTGCTGAACTAGTATCTAATTGTCACGTTTTGTTTACGTAACAAACTAAACTAATTGGCTGTGTCGGGTGGTGGCGGGTTTAACGACATTTATATTTATGCGATCTAACCCAAAGATATAACATTATTTACTGAAAGCTTTTATACTTTTTGTGCCCAAAAAAATTAGTTTTTCACTGTGATGACATAAATATAACCAATAATTTTACATATATAAATCATAAATGGTATGCATATGATATACGCTGGATAAGTAGTACTACACAATTGTAAATTATTGCCAGTAATGTGTTTGAAAATTACAAGCATCCTAACAAATTGTCACACAATTCTTCATGTGAAATGTTCTAAACTGTCCTTTAGATCACAACCAAGACTCTCCTAATTGGACTGCAAATATGGGAAAAACTTGTTTTATGTTCCACACCACTGAGTTATGAAAGGAATACTAATACACTACATGGGTTATTTTTCTTCACAAATGGCTTGTTTTAGGTTTATGATACCGACATGAGTTCAGAACAAACAGCCAGCTTACTCCGGTGGCTGTGATAATTCAGTAGCGATGAAGGACAGAGATGAGGGAACATACATCGGCAGACAAATACAGAATTTAGGAAATGTCAAGGCATGAAATTTGTATTTAGAGATGCATTTAAATACAGAATTATACGTTTTAGTAATTTACTTCAAAGAAATGTACATTCACAGGACTATAGTTTGGCAATAGTTTGCAGACACATAGTAAAACATAATGTGTATTTGAGAAATGTATGACGTGATTTGTATTATACTTGTGTATAAAATATTTACAGCATGACATAAGTGGGTATTATAGCTTCGTTATTTGCAAATCAACTCAAACATTACTTAACTTTGAATACTGACATTCAGTAAATTAAATGACTGCATTTAACATAAAAATTTTATCATGGATTTTTTAATCCGGATTAATTTTAGAAAGTGTGCAGTCAGACATGACCATTGCCAGGAGGTAATCGTCACAAAACAATACAATTGCAA